GTAGGTCTTCCGTTCGATTTTCGATACGATCATAAAACAACTTAAAATGAAAAAAAAGTTCTTATCAATACCTCTAAATACGTGAGAACACATTAAAGAGTGAAATCTGTAAATTTCAGACAACTTCCGGTCTTTATAATTCACTTCCGGTGTGACCGGAAGTACTAAAAATGACCTATAACTCCTCTCTGAGTGTGAAGGATTCATCCCTGATAATTTCGATGAAAAATGATCATTTTTTGGTCTACTTCCGGTTTTGAAAAAATAACTTCCGGTGGACATAATAATACTCGAGACTGTCTATTTGCCTATATAAGAAACATTTAAAAAAGAAAAAAATTAAATTTTGCATATTTTTAAACTACTTCCGGTGGACAACGGACGTGACGGCAACGAAAACTTTATACAAAATTCAATAGAGCCTGTCGCAATCTATCATCCCTGAAAGTTTCAAGACTCAATCTCAAACCGTTTTTGAGAACACTTCCGGACAAAATGACACTTTAAAAAAAGAAAATTGGCCGTATCTCGCGACCGGAAGTGACGACGGCAAAATAAAAAAAAACGCCTTAAGTTCATATGATTTGCCATCATTGCTGAAAGTTTCATAAAGATCTGTCGAGGCGTTCTCGAGAAATCGCCTGCACAAAATCGGTAAGAAAAAAAAAATAATAATAGTGGAAAAGAAACAAACGAATCAGTAGAAGGTCTTCCGTTGGAAACGGAAGACCTTAATAATAAGAAACAATAGAATAACTATAAGGTCTTCCGTGAAGACGGAAGACCTTAATAATAAGAAACAGAGTAAAAACAATATGTTCCCCAACTTCGTTTGGGGAACATAATTAGGCTTCAAAAGAATATATTTACATTCAGTGTAATTATGTTCCCCAAACGAAGTTTGGGAACATATTGTTTTTACTTTTTCTGAATTTTTTCTTTGTTCTCCGGTACTTTTTTGTCCGCGAGTGTTCTCGTAAACTACTCATCCGATCTAGGTGAAACCTTTTTAGGGTCACTAGGTATGTTATGTAGATGTGCGGAACGAAGGTCATTTTGCGCGCACGTGCGTGCAGGTGCGCGCACGTGTAACACGTGAAATGATCAATATAATAGATTTAGCCATAACTTTTTAAATATTGGATGAAATGCTTTGAAACTCTTAATATAAGGATATAATAGTAGTATAGACATGATGACATGGTCAAAATAGCAAGATCTCACGCGCATGCAGGTGCCCTTCGCTGCGATTGGCTGAAACTTAAAGTCTAAATATCTATTTTGTTTTCTGACAAAATCCTTTGAAATTTTGAACATAGTCTTACATTATGAAGATCTACAGCATGATATATAAGAATAATCATGAACGCACGCACATGCACGTGTGCTGCAATCTGATTGGCTAAAACTTTAAATGCCTACAACTTTCTTGGTTCTCAATAATACAGGGTGAAATTTCAAATATGAATAGATATAATGATTGCCTACATTATACTACTATCAAAAGTAAATACATGGACGTGCATGCACATGCGACCGCACACAATGTATTAAAAGACAGTATACTTGAGTGTTTGATGTTCATGCAGAATTAAGAACTTCTAAATGTCAAGACATGTAACATACTGAAGCATGCAGATCTTTTTACCCTTGACCTTGAAACTTAGGTCAAGGTCACTGGTAACCTGAATAAAATGTTGATATTAACTATTTACCAAAATCACCTTGACCTATGAACTTGAAATCGACCTTAACCTTTGTCCTTGACCCAGGGGTAAAAAGAAACATGAAGTACATGTACATGTATCTAGAAACACCTTTCAGAGTTTATTTCGGTTGACAGGTTAGAAGTTAAAGAGGTGGTGGTTTTTAATGACCTTGACCTTTCATCCAAATGTCACAATCAATCTTAAGTTCTTGGAATAAGATACAAGATTCAACTCCAACGTTAAATAGGTTAAGAATAAAAATACCCCCCCCCCCACCCACACACACACACACACACAAACAAATCAAATTAATGGCAACGTAGAGAATCACTGTTAAACTCAAATAACACCTCGGACCCACATAAAATTTCAGGAAAACTGCAGAAAAGAGCTCGAGGAAAGTGTATTAAAATATTTCATTTGAGTTTCCAAAGTATATAGAAATTATTAATTTATACAGAAAAAATTACAAATCCTGTCGTGTTTAAAATTAAAGTGCAGATGACCAAAGTTGGCATATAAGCCTTTTATAGCCTATTTATTCAGATGTCGTTAATAGCATTCGATTCTACTGATTTGAAATAATATTTTAATACCAAGCATCCTTTGTTTAATTTACCTTTGAAATTTATTTGAATTTTTTTTAGAATTACGCAATCCCCAGAAATAGCGATTTTAGGTATATTAAAAAATCAATATACATGTACGCTCCTTCGTAAAATAATCAGATATTTGCATTCATGAAAAAAATATTAATAAGAAGCTGTTAAACAATATAGGTCACATTAGCTGACACGAATGTCTTTTTAAACATCTCTTGTAAAACCCAGAGAGTAGCCCCCTATGCATTGGAAAAAAATGAATAGTTCCGGTCAAAAAACCTTTATATATTTATTTACAAAGTATATAAATTTTACCAGGCACAGGTATCAGAGTTGTCAAAATGGCCTGAGAGGAAATATTAAAAAAAATTCTGAACAGAAAGGAAAATCCCTTTTCCATGTATGGAACTACTATTGAATAAGTTCATTTTGATTGGTTAGGTAATGGTGTGATACCCTTAGTCGACTTTAACCCTGCCTTGTCTTCGGAATAAAACCAACTTTGAGCCCGAGGTTTAAATAAGTAGAGAAATAAAATGTGAATCGATATATTCAAAATATGACATATGCTTGAGAAATGGTAAATTTATGTATGTATTTTTTTCTTTGATTCGCGGGATAGAAAGATATGTTAATCGCTTAATCAACATGCCATAATCATCTTGCATATGCATGTACATGTACGTGTTCGCGTATGCAAAACGTTAAACAATATATCGTTGATAGTTGATATCATTGTAACTTTTATATTCTTAAATGAAATCTTGGGATACTTAGCATATTTATAAAAGGTCTTAGAGGAATAAGGCACGATAAGGGACATGGGGAGCGTTTGGGGAACATCTGTAACGGTCCCCGTTACAATTAGCACTAGTTTTCTTTATGAAATCCATTAGAAATCCACGACGGTCAAATCTCTATAACACACGCGAAACCTTGTCACCGCGCGTTAGAATACACAGCAGGAACTATAAGCATTTTCAATACTTTAGGAACACCAAAATGTAAAATGTTTTATTTCATTTTAATGAAAAACTATAACCCTGAAAAATTAACGTTAAAATTAACGTAATGTGTGTTAAGAATTAATTTGTCACTTTTTTCCTCGCAATGTTTGTTTAACTTTGCAACGTCATTTAACGTTATTTGACGTCACAAACGGCTCTTACATTTAATAACCACGGCAGTTTTGAAGGGCGCTAAATTCACATTTAAGATGAACGAAATAAGCAATTATGAAGAAGGAAAATTAGAGAATGTAAATATAAGCATTGAATTCATATTTTTGGATGTCTTCGGTCCTATAACACACCTGGCCGTACCGACAAATTATCATACCGCGCTAACGCGCGGTATTCAATTTGTCGGCAGGCCAGGTGTGTTATAGGACCGAAGACATCCAAAAATATGAATTCAATGCTTAAATGAAAACTGGTCAGCTAATAAAGGAGTACACTTAGCACCAATCTGATTTTCAACTTTTTTTTTTGAAAACATGGTCTCCAACAAAATTTTTAATTAATATTAATGAGGAACCCCAACATAATTTGTAGAAAGAAAATATCAATAAAACGTGTGAGGAAAAAACCCTAAAAAGGTTAGTTAAAAGATAAGTAATTCAAGTCAAGATCGAACAACATTTGTATCTTTTCTCTCTTTTAACAAAGAAAATAACAAAAAATCTCAGTTGTCTGTTTCATCCCATGGACATAAAGGCTAATACATGTGTATCTATCTCAACGGAGGCCAGAGATGCGTCATAACCGAACAATGTTTTTACGTATCAGAAATTGAAGCACATTATAATATACCTTCAAAGTTGGTAATGCAGAACTGGGCCTGTTTCGTTTCGAATGTATGGTGCTTTCCTCACATACATGTACCTGTGTACACATGGGAATGTTTTTAATTTCTTTTTTTTTTCTTAGTGATGAGAAAAGTTGCATCAAAATCTGGTAGTTTGATGTATTACAAATCAACAATTATTACCTTTTTTCAGTTGTTGCGAATGTAAACTATGATTCAGATCAATGATCTGTTTTCAGAGCATGGTCAACTTTTCCTTGAGCTACTCGAAGCTTTAAGAAAAGTCTTTTTAAACATTTAATATTTATCATTCCATTCAGATATGAAATGAAGGAAGTGATTAAGAGATTTTCACCAAAATTTCTTGTTCTCGTCGGAGACTTTCGGTCATTTTAAGTCAAGGATCTTTTAAAGTTAGATTAAAAAAATAAATCTTGTAGGAAGATTTAAAATTTTAAAGGTAAAAATACTGTATTAGTAGAAAAAATTGATCTTTTTTTTTTTTATAGATTTTAACAATTCTAAGCATTATAATTTTTTCAACGATACTCAATCTTATAAAGATGTGTTTATTTGTCTGTTTGTACGTTGTTAAACGTCCTTCTCGAAAATTTTTCACTCGATCATATGGAGACACCACCACTTGCCAGAGAACAACTACGATTTATGTCCTATACTCTGCAATTGAACAGGGAGAAATCTTTGTCGTGCCATCATCTACTGCGACACGGGACCTCAGTTTATAGGTCTCATTCGCAGGTCCGGTCTCCACAGTGGGATTCGAACCCGAAACGTAAGGATCAACTACTTACTTCGCGACTCTAGTGTATATAAATTTGTGTTTTTTCCCTTTTATCGTTGTAAGAGACGAAGCATAACAAAATTAAGTTTTATCTGTTTATTCCGTAACCTAACAATTATGAAAAATTATAAACACAATCAAAGTCGAACACGAAATCAATCTCAGTTAGTCCCTGGGTATCTCAGTAGTAGCCTGCAAATAGAAAAAAATGATATTAAAACAGATATCTCTTTAAAACATTAATTTCTCATTGATTAATTATTATTTATTATCGTACGAAGATAAATTACCTAGCTTTTTGCGGCCTCCAAAGCCGCCACCTAGACCTCCTCCAAGTCCACCGCCAAGACCTCCTAGACTACTTCCGAGTCCGCCGCCAAGACCTCCTAGACTACTTCCGAGTCCGCCGCCAAGACCTCCTAGACTACTTCCGAGTCCGCCTCCAAGACCTCCTAGACTACCTCCAAGGCCACCGCCAAGGGCACCTAGACCACCTCCAATGCCACCGCCAAGACCTCCTAGATCACCTCCAAAACCACCTCCGAGTCCACCAAGACCACTTCCGTATCCACTTAGACCACCTCCAATTCCTCCAAAGCCACCTCCGAGTCCTCCAAGACCACCTCCAATTCCACCAAAACCACCTCCAAGGCCGCTACCAAGACCTCCTCCGAGACCTCCGTATCCACCCAAACCTCCTAATCCAACACCACCTCCGAGACTGCCACTTTGGAATGAACTACCACTGGAGACACTGAGTGCGCTTCCTCCAGTACTAGATGGGAATCCTCCAATACCGCCAAGACCACCACCGATGCCACTTCCAATGCCACCAATACCACCAATTCCACCTAAGTTTCCACCGCCATATGGAAATCCACCACTTGGGATATATCCTCCTCCGATAGGGGTTATACCGCTACCACCTCCTATTATTTGACTTCCACCTCCAATACCGCCCGGGAAACCACCACCTCCAAACCTGAATCCCTGAGGGATGATATGCAGTCGGACCAAGTACTGGTAGTACTGGACATATTGGACAGAGGTGGGTCCATATATGACGTAAAGGTAGTAAAGATATTGGATGTAGACGATGTACCTGTATCCACCGGAGGGGTAGGTGGGGTATGATGGAATTGTAGGATAGCCTATAAAGATACAAGTTTAGATTTTTTTTTTTATAAAATCAAATTTATTTTTGCGACTAAAAATCATTTATTTAAATATACTGATATAATTTTACCAATGTTATAAGTGGCTGCCACGTATGTGGCCATCAACAGAAAACAAACTTCCTTCAGCATGTTGATCGGAGAAATAAACAGAGTAATTCTGAAAAAGAAAAATTTCAAATTCTTTAGAAAGATTGCACAAGAAAAGAATAGAATTCAAATGCAAAGAAAGATTAAATTGATGTTAAAGGAAAAGTAAAATTGAAAAGCTACCTTTGTGTTATTTCTTCTCTGGGACTTCGGGCTAAACTGTATTAGTCTAAAAGTAAGGTGTCCTTATATACTCTAGAACAACCATTCAGATGGTCATCAAAAACAATTATTGATTGATTTTGATGATTTTTGCAATGTTAAACGCAAAAGTTAAATATCAATATCAAAGAACTGCATGTTCGAACAATTATTTGGTTGTCCTGACATGTAAAGACAAATACAAGCTATGTCTAAATTATGCAATGACAATAAAATGACTACTCTTCATAAAATTACAAGATTTGAATTTCGCAACCAAATTTCTTGTATCACACGGAAATAACTGCAGACGTTAAGGAAGTGAAGAATTGGAAGATTCAAAGATTAACCGTTCAAGTAAACCTGAAGGCGTGTAGGCTTGTGGTTTTGTTCTACAAAAACCTTTCAATCGGACACTAACGCTAAATATTGAGAATTTGCTTTTTGGATCTTTATTGGAGATTTTTGAAAAATAAGGTAGACCATATTCGTCGAGTAAAAGATTTATTTTCAACCTTGCTATCTTAATGAATCCATTTCAATTGTTCTCAAAGTTTACAAATTAACAATTTTGGACGAGTAAACATTATTCGGAATCTTAAAGTCTGTTTGGAAATTAAATGTCACACGTGGTTTATATTAATTGTTAATATACATGTTACTGTTTTGACTCTAAATCTTAGTGTCAAAATTAAAAGTGGAGTGCGTCGTTCTTTACGCAATGAAAACTATAGGCGACGCTTGAAATCAGTTTAACATATGATATGTATACGGATTAAGAGTATGAAGATTGTAAGAATTATAAATGATGTTTATATATTACCTGATAATTGATATTACAAATGTACCTTCTTTTATTTTTTTATATAATGTTTGTGATAATATTTCCTTCTGAAAAGAATTTGATTCATTGGTCAAGTGCAAAATAAATTATGAAAAAATATATGTATTTGTTTAATTATTAATTATTTTCTTGCAAAAATTGAATTTTAATACAGTTTTTAAAAAGATAACTACAGCAAAAAAATAAATAAACTCTATTCCTTGTCCTTTTCTCGATTTCAAACATAATTCAACCAGCTGTAGAACATACTGAGTATCAGTCATTAAAAATTATCATTTGTTACGGACTTTTCAAAAAGTAATGAGACAAAAAAAATCATCTAATTTTTGGCTGTTTATAAATTAAAGAAAAGTATAATTATTTTTAGCGTTTTTCTTCGAATAATTTCGTTTATGAGGGATATTCAATAAATAATGTTCTGAACTGTATGACATACAATAAAGATATCATATGACAGTAAGCTTGACTTTCTCTCATTATTTAATCTTTAATGAATTTATGACAGTTTATGTGACCACTTTTCATCACATAGTTTCACTGTGAGAAGCTGGAAAACAAGGGCTATTCGAGACACTGCATTATAAATAAATCGTAAAGAATAAGTAAACTAGAGTGAAAATAAAAACTTCATTA